TCAAAGTTCATTCGGTCTCTGTGAGTTTCAATTTTGAGTAACTTCCAGCCTGGGGAAGCCTCCTTCCATGACTGCCTGCCCAGCTGCTCTTGATTTTATTTTATTTATTTTATTTTTTTGGTACCGGGGATCAAACTTGGGTTCTTGCGCTTGCGCAGCAGACGTCGAAACCACTGAGCTAAATCCCTGGCCCTGCTCTTGATTTTAAAGATAAAATTACTTCACTTTGTTTATTTTTAATGCCTTTCTTCCAACAGGTCAGGAAACAAAAATCATTAACAGATCCATAAGCCATGAGTATTTTAAGTATGCAGATCATCAGCCTCCCAGGTCAGACACCAAACCATTCCCAACAGTTCAGCCCCTGGGATGCCTCTCGGTCTGAAAACATTTTCTTCCTCACCACAGGACCCAGCAACCCTTTCTCATCTCCTTTCTACTGAAAAAGACCAACACTGCCTACTCCAATCTCACGCTTATTCAGCAATGAACAGTGTGTTAAGAACTAGGGACTGGAGGATGAGGCTGCACGAGAGGACTTCTCTCCCAGCTGCTGGCTTCTTGGCCTACTTGCCTGTGGTCTCGTGACTGTGTTACCAGCTGCTACACGAGGCTTTTACAGATTCCAGGGTCCCATGAACTAAGCTAGGAAACAGAGGAGAAGCAGGGGTCCGCCAGGCTGGCGGCTGGTATTTTCTCAATAAGCCTGGCTGCCCACCTTCTGTCCGGACAAAGCTGAGGCCCGGGGACGCTGCAGGTCCACCCTCCCTCAGCGTGTGTTCTACTAAGGTGTGCTATTAATGAATCCTGTCTCCTTGGGTTGCCTGCTGTGCCATAAAATCAAGTACACAGGACCTAAGCATTTCTTTCTTGTATACCTTTTCGTTTTTTTTGAAGTTAGTTCATTTTTTCTCATTTGTTTGGTTTTCTATGTGTCTGCCACTAATTCACGCTCAGGTTCTTGGCCAGACATGCAACTGTCCTGAGGTCTGCTTGCACATACTGAGCCTCTGTCGCTGGCGTGGACTTCCATCCTCCCGGGACCTCCTCTCCTGTGTCTATCCAGGCTGCTGCTCCGATTCTGCCTTCCTGCCACTTGGGTCACCACATCCACAGCGCTTTCCTTTGCCTTCCCTGCATCCTTGACCACGTATTTTCCTGTTTTAGTTTTTCTGTTAACAAGAGCTTCCTAAAAGGAAGTAGGAGATGACTTGCGTATGGAAGTATACGGTTGTCCTTGTTCTCATTCCTCACTGAGGCTGAATAAAGGATTCCACATTGAAGGTCCACTTCCTTCAGAATTTTGACAGCTTTGTTTTCATGTCAGCTTTAGTCACTGTAGGTCCACTGTCTGCTCTCCTCGAGTCTCTTTGTCCTCAGATTTCTGAAGTCTCAGGCTGCTGGATTTTAATGTGGATTTATGTTCATTATGCTAGACACCTGACAGGCCCTTTGATCTGGAAGCTTAATGTCCTTCAGATCTGGGAAAACTCCTCAGACCATTTCTGATAATCTCCTCTCCAACCTCCTGCTCTTGCTCAGGTTTCTAAGTTCTCATCTTACCCCACGTTGCCCATGGTTTGACAAAGTGTTCCCCAAAGGCCTACATTTAAAGGCTTGGTCACTGGCCTGTGGTGCTCTTGGGAGATGCTGGAGGCTTAGGCGGCAGGGCCTCGTGGGAGGAAGTTAAACCACTGAGCACGTGTCCTTGAAGGGGATACTGTGTCCCCAGTCACATCTGCTTTGCTTCCTGGCTGCCATGAAGTGAGCAGCCAGCTTCAGCCACAAGTGCCCACCATGTCTTTCGGCTCACCACAGGAATAAGCCTTAGAGACACCATGGACTGAAACCTCCACAACTGTGAGCTGACATAAACTTTTCCTATTTATTTTTTGGTACCAGGGATTAAACTCAGAACCTTGCGCCTGCAAGGCAGGCACGGCACCACTGAGCTAAATCCCTGGCCCTTATTCATTTATTTACTCAAGTTAATTTTATTGGTACACTTTATATATACATAATGGTCACATTCATCATTGGGAATTTGTACCTGTACATAATATATCTGAGTTCTTTTTTCCCCTAACCCCCTCCCAATATTTCTTATTTATTTATTTTTGGTACTGGGAGTCAAACTCAGGGCCTCATACTTGCCAGGCAGGCAGTGCCACCTAGCTACATCCCCAGCCCCCAACCCTTCCTTTTAAAAAGCTGATTAGCTTAGGTATTTTGTTACAGTCATGGAAAGCTGACCAACATACTCCAGAAGCCCTATAATGTTGGACCTTTTAAGCTCACTTATTTTCAACCTGGCACTCTCATTTTCCATCTCTTGAGGTTTTGTTCTTTCTGGGGGGATATTTTTCAACTCTCTTTTACTATCTCTCCTTCCATTAGATTGTCAATTGCAATAGTTATATTTCTTTTATTTCCAGGGACTATTCTTATATTTTCTGCATGTTTCTTCTTCATAGCTTCCTGCTCCAGTTTCATGGACACAAATCTTCTCTTTTCTGAGGATTATTTTAAGCTTTCTTTTACTCCCTGCTGTGTTTGTTTCCTGTTTGTTTGCTTCTGTTAACATGTTTTTCCTCAGGTAATTGGAGAAAGATTAAGAGTGGAAGAGAGGAAGTTGCCATCATTTGGTCTCCAGTTAAGGTGGGCTAGCAGGGGTCACTATTTTCTTGGGAAATCTCCAAATTTCACCATCTGGAGGATCTCTCTCTCGGACTTGTTAGTTTCTCCAGAAGAAAAGCCTCCAGACCCTGGCCTGGGAACTATAAATCTGGCTGTCAGTGTTCTCGAAACCAAATAGCTTGGGGAGCCCACATTTGCGTTCAGACAGCTCCTAGAGGGACTAGAGGTGGAGCTCAGTGCAGAACCCTTGTCTAGCGTGCATGGGGCTCTGGGTTCTGCCTAGGCCCCCTGGACTCTAAGCCAGAACACGTGAGAATTCTCGCCCTAAGTCAGTCTCCTTGGCCCTTGCCTCTGGAATCTGACTGCATAAGTAGCAAAGGTCTAAACTAGTAGAGGATGAACATCGTCAAATGATAAAATAAACCGAGACAGCCAAACCAGGGAGGGCAAGTGTAGGGACTCGCGCCGATGGAGATGCTGCCCACTGTCTGTGCCCAACCTCGCCCCCAGCTCGCTCTCCCATCTGAGTTTAGAAATCCTGGCACAGCCCTCCTGCAGTAACTCAGATCCCTGTCTCTGCGGGAAAGGTCTCCTTACCTGGCTGTGCAGTGGAAGGAGGGAGCAGGTGTTCATGTGCTATTCACAGACTCAACAGAGCTCGTCTCCAGCCTCACCCACACTCATGCTTTCAAAGGTATCTGCAAGCTCCAATTTCCCAGTTTACCTCAAGTTCTGAGGTGTCAGTTCATGCCTATTGCTCCTCATAGCCATTTCTTTAGCTTTCCCGCCCTGCTCAGCCTGTTGCCGTTTGTCTATCTACCTTGAGTGCCAGCTGACAGCTCCCCAAGCCACTTCCTAACTGGTTCTCTTTGTATTTGTGGGCTTCTTTTATAATCCTTATCATCATTATGTAGCATTTGAGCAGAGTGCAGATGAACACATCCATTCTGACTGTTGTATTTTATTGAAGCTCTGATTCCCAGCTTTTAAAATGATTCTGGTTAATCAGAAGAGGTAAACAACATGGGGCAAATATCAGGAATGCGGGAAAAAGGACTAGGTAAAGTTTTTAAAGTTTTATGGTCTATTCTCCTTAGTTTAAGTTTCTCAGAAGGTTCAAGCCCTATATCTATCTATGGTGCAGCAGTTGCTTAACCTTACGTAAGTTACGTAGCATCTCCTCACTTTAAGTTTCTTACACATACAAGCGACAATGCTCCCTACTTTGCAGGGCTGCATGAGATCACGCAGCACAGAGGAGGCACAGGTGTATGCTGCTAATGACACTTTGGTCAATGATGGTTCTGTCACACGGTAATAAAAGATCTGAAAAACTGCTACTGCCTAGGAACAATGTGCTACAGTACAATGTATCTGTGGCAATGCTGGCATAAACACACCTACTGTGGTGCTAGACATATGAAAGTATAGTGTGTAGTTTCACACAGCAGGAGTCCCCACCCCCAGGCCCACAGACCGCTTGATGGGTCCATGGCCTATTAGGAACCAGGTGGCGGTTGGGCAAGCAAGCAAAGCTTCACCTGTATTTCCATCTGGTCCCCATCACTCCCATTACCACCTGAGTCCCACTTCTTGTCAAGTCAGCAGCGGTATTGGATTCCCACAGACAGGAACCTTACTAGACACCGTGCATGTGAGGGGTCTGAGTTGCACGCGCCTTTGAGTCATTGGGAAACTACCCTCCACCCACAGAACAGTGGCCAGAACCTGACATAAAGTACCAGATACTTGGATACCAGATGATGGTAATAAACAGCTATACTGCTGGTTTGGGAATTGGCTAAAATTTTTTGGTTATTTTTAGAGAATAATCCTTTCACTTATTAAAAAAGATTAATGTGAACTGCCCTGTCCCACCAGCAGCAGCCTCAGACCTCTTGTGCTTACTGCGTCTCCTGGCTGCATCAAGAGGCGACATGGCTGACTGACACCATCTGGGTTAGTCAATAATGCCATCATGCTCACACAGCAGACGTCTCCAAGGATGCATTTCTCAGAGTGCCACCCCTTGCCAAGTTGGGACACATGGCATACTTTCAAAAGGTTGGCTGAAGAATGTAGAGTGGCTGTGTGTGGGGAGGAAAGGCTGCCCTTACTTCCTACCACCATGGTGAGACGTCAGGGGACACCACACTGAGACATCTGCTGGGAGCCAGAGCTGCTTTAATTCAGCAAGTGCTTGCTGGCACCTTTAGGACAAGGTCCTGAGCCAAGCAGGCAGTAGGCCCTGAAGAGCTGAATAAGGACACGCTATCGTCACACCAGAAGGCACAATGTGACCCAAGAAAAGCCAGGGCCCCCCCGCCCAGCCCAGGGCACAGAAGCCCAGAGTCTGCCTTTACCTTTTTTGGTCTTGCAGGGTCCACATTCAGGGTGAATCTCTTGTAAGGGGAGGGTTATCACCTTGGCCAGCCCCGCGTTCAGCATGTACTGGTACAGACGCTTAAAAGTCCTCTCACACAGCCCCTGCCAAAACACAATGTAAAGCTACTTCTGAGCAAGGCACTGGAAACTGCCAGTCAGGTAAACACACACAAGCTCAGGACCTGAATTAACTGATTATCTTAAATGAGGAAAGACTGCCAAGCTATGTTGTCAAGGTAACAAAACAAAGTTGAGAGCAGTAAAGAAATGATTCTACATTTTGATTACAAGGGGGGAAAGAGATTTGCCTAAAGTGATCTCAAAGGGTAGGAGCGAGACGCTAAGAGCAGGAGGAGACTTTTCCTCTGACACTGTTTCATATTTCTTTGAATTTGTGAACCAAGTGAGAGTATTATTAACACACACACACACGCACACACACACGCACAGTGGAACAAGCATTGCGAGTTTGAGCTCAGCCTGGGCAACTTAGTTGCTTAGTGAGATCCTGTCTCAAAAAAAAAGGGCGAAGGATGTAGCTCAGTTTGAACGTCCTGCGTGCAATCCCCAGTCCTGTCAAAAAACATTTTAATAGAATTGTTTAAAACGTGGTCTCAAGTGAAGACCACGTCCATGCTACTGCTCATCCTTCTGCAAGGCTGCTGCAACACAGGTCCTATGAGTCTCTTTGCCACAGGGTTACTAATGGGCAGCCTCCCGTGCAACCCATGCCTTTTAATCCACATAATATTTTTTTTAAAGCAATTAATTTGCCAACATTGAAAAGTGAGAGCTTTCATATTTAAAGGAAAACCAGACTCGCTTCTCTTAAAAAGCTAAGATTTGCCAATCAATCAGAAGAATGCAGCTCCTCGAGGCAACGGCCTGTGGAGTCAGGGCCAGCACTCTTGGTGGCAAGGGATGTGGTCACCAGGGTGCTGTGGGCCTCATGCTCTTTGCCAGACCCTTGAATGATAAAACCAAAGGCCAGTTACCATCCATCACCATTTTCGTGTTGCTTTACACTATTGGTCCTGAAGAGGAAAGTGAACACCTTAAATCTGTACTAGGAGCAAAACCATTTTCTACGCATGGTCCATCTGGCTCATTCACAGCCTTCCTGGCTGCTGCCGCCATGTGACTATGCAACTGCTGGAGGAGTGAGGCCAGTTACCCTTGCTGTCCGTTCCGAGGGACAGCAGGAGGAGCTCACCACCATGTGCTGCTGGAGAGGAAAGTGTGTCCATGGGCCACCACCACCACACATCTGTAATCAGCTCTCAGACCGGCCAGCACTCTTAGCTGCCGGGCGCCACAATATCCAGCTACCTAAAACATCAGGTAAGTCCCACACGGCTCAGGCAAACATACTGGCTTGTACATAGCATCTATGGTTAATCTAGCCCAGCCCTGGCATGGCAGAAAGACCCCATGGAAACGCCACCATCAAACCCTAGCCTTCCGCATATGGCACCAAGCCCCGGACCATTCTAAGTAAGCAAAGGAGGAGGATGCAGGCCTGCATTTGGGGTGCTGCCATCAAGACTTGCTCAGTGCACCAAGCAAAACTGCAGCACCCGGAGTCTCCCCACCTTCCATATTCATGGCATCCACCTCGTCTACAAGCTGGTTGGTCTGCTCTCTCCAACCCCTACTGCCAGCTGCTGATCAGACATTACCAGGGGAGCAACCCAGAACTTCGCACTTGATGCATCTTAAAGTCATATGTGTCACATGCCTCCCCACACAGTTTGCTCCTTTCTGCACGCTGATACATGGGTGTAACAAATGCTACTGATACTCTGCCTCGGCATCTAAGAGGTGGCAGGAAGTAGGGGGCCATGGGGGGCTGGCCAATGCACAACTAGCTCCAGCTCACTATTTTCATGAGCAACTGCAGGCCCAGGCTCACTAAGGCCTCTGACTTTTCAAGGGAAGCTGGACGCCTAGCTTTCTTCATAAAATCTAAATTTAAAAACAAACCCAGATCAAATTTATTTTTAATAGGCCAAGTCTCCCAAAAGCCTCCAGTTTGTGACCTCTGCTTTGAAGAGGCTGGGCATGCACAAATCTAGCAACAGGGAAGATATTCTCTCCTGTGTGAACAACACTGACACATCACACAGTGACACATTAGGATGGTCCTGGTGTCTAAAAGCAGGCTGTAGAGCAGTGGTGGCGAACCTATGGCACACGTGCCACAGCTGGCTATATGTTATCACTGAAAGCTCTAAAAGGTTCACCATCACTCCCGTAGACCATGTTCCTTTGGGGACTGACTACTAGCACTCAAGAAACCTGACTTCAAATTTTAAGTTGCAGTTTAACCTATGGGGCAATCTTATTTCCCTATTTCTAAAACTGGCTCTTCCCCGACTTCCACAGAGAACTGTCTGAACCAGCCTGGGAGCAGAGGCCCCTCCACCTCTTCTCTCCCTTACACTCACTTATCCCTGCCTCCTCTTCTGGGCCCAAGCGGAAGCAGGTCAAGAACTGCTTTTCAGCCATGCATGGTGGTGCACGCCTGAAATTGCAGCACTCAGGAGGCTGGGGCAGGAGGATCTGGCAAGTTCAAGGCCAGCCTGGGCTACACAGTGAGTTTAAGGCCAGCCTGGACTATACAGTGAGATCCTGTCTCAAAAAAAACCAAACAATAAAAACAAAAAAAGAACTGTTCTTCACTGTCATCTCTCCTCCTCAGCACAGCCACACTGTCATTTCAGCGTAAAACCACTGGAACAAAATTACCAGTTTCATTATGGAAGGAAATCTAAATGCCAAGATCTACCCTCCCACATGCACTGTGATTGCAAACCACAGAGCAAACCCTGGGAGGCACGGAGTGAGTGGAGGACTGAGCACTCCCTCATCTGTACAGTAAAGGGAAACTTGCTTCAGCCCATGACGGGCGCTGGGTGGCAATGCTTCAATCTGCATGTGACAAAGGCCTCCAAGCTGCGTGAGGACCACAGCCAGCGTGGCTCCCAGGACGGGCCCGCACGCTCACCAGCTCCTCCCGCAGTCTGCCCAGCGTCTCGATCCGGTTACTCCGGGTGCTCAGCATCCCCGAGAGCTTCTCCATGAGGATGTCGTATTTGCTCCTCCTGCAAGAAACACCAGCCAGGGCATCTTGTCAAGCCTACTGCAAAACACCACCTGGTTTTTAGAGGTGACAAAGCAAGTAACAACACAGTGAACTGCAGAACCTTCACCTTAGGGCTCAATGGTCACCCAGCCCAACTCCCACACTTTATAGCTGGACAGCTTGGCTGAGAGCCGTTCATTCACATGGCCAGGGTCACCTAATGAGTGGTGGTGTACAAACAGATTCTAAAATATTAATGAAGTGATTCTCTAAGTGCCTTACATTTTTATAGTACTTCAGTGTTTAGGAAATTACATACTTCCTTAGAAATCACTCGGTAAGAGTGGGGATTATTTCATAAAGAATCTCATTTCCATCTCATTTATTGTGAAGTCAATGTCATGGCAAATGCTCCAGAGCTAATAGTCAACAAAAGAAGCTAGTAAGAAGAGCTGAGTGCTCATGGTGGCATGTGCCTAGAGACCAGGAGGGCTGAAAGGAGGTGCCTTCCTGCCAGTTCAGCTGGACAAGGACAGCTTGGCTTGGGTCACGATCTGAGAAGGGGGAAGCACGTGTATGGGATCCACAGACTACACCCACTTCTCCATGTGTACGCGTCTGAGTGAAGGAGAATCAATGGAGGACATGTGTGTATAGATGTGTGCTGCATACAACTACTACATACATGAAGTTCATGTGTTCACTCAAGAGGAAACAGCGGTTCAAAGAGGCCAAGTGTCTGCTAAAGCAAGGGGCAAAGATGGATACACAGACCTCGACTTAATTCATGTTCTTCCTCCTATGCCAAGCCTGCCACCTCAGTTCTCTAGATCATGAGCCATGCGTCATGAGTTTAGTGAAAGTTATTTAATAGATTGCATGATCAATTAAAATACGAATTCACCAATATTGTATTCTCCAATAAATTAAAGATGTATTAGAAACTTACGTTTTAACAGTGTGCATGTTTGAAGGCCAATCAGAATCAAGAGGACATTTGACAGGAGGTCAGACATGATTCTCACTCCTCCAGGAGTGATTCCACTCCAGGAGTGGATTTCCAACAGTTTACCCAAGTGGGTACTATAAACTTCAACCCTTACACTTAATCCTGAGTTTGCTCCCCTCCTTTTCGGAGAGTGCATCTGGCTCCTGGCGTAAAGGGCAAGGAACTCCTACTGCCTGGCCAGAGGAGAAGCAGTCATTCTCCATGTCCAGCCAAGGGTCTGCTGGCTCACCTCCCAGCTACCGCTATCCCCACTGTGCAGTGGTGGGAGGGCACTGAGGAGCCTGAAGCTCACTCACCCAGCGCACTTCTCTTAGGCCCCACACCACCTTGGCTTCTGCTCTTCCCACAAAGGAGGACATGGAATTGAGGGGTTTAGGTTGGGACCTTTGCAGAGTGGTAAAACACCTCTTTTCCCCATTCCCATGCCAGGTACTAAGTTACCCCGAACTGCAAGGATTACAGAGTCAGAGGTAATCAACTCAGTCCCAGACTCCTTGGTCCTCAGAAGGGGATGTGCATACTCTCTCTGTCAGCTTGCTGACTGTCTGGACTATGATACCCAGCTAGAATAGCAGAATCAGGCACTGTAATCACTTAGCAGGACCTCACCACTGCATCCACATGAGGTGATTATGGCTGCATGTTTCAAAAGTGCCCAATGTGAAACTGACATAATTCAACCCCAACTCTGCACCTAACAAATTAAACTGGACTTACTTTTATTTTTACATCTCTCTGCATTTAAACAGAACGGTAATAGTCTCTATTACCGGGTAATGGAATTTCTGGTATTTCTTTCCCATTTTTTTCTGTATAATTTCCATGTTTTCTAAATAAGCACGACGTATGCACATCAGAAACATACCTTATTTAAAAAGGCAGTCATGTCCTGACTGGGCATTAAGATTTTTTAAAGCATAATACGCACAGCTGCAAAAAGTAACCAAGTTCTTGTTCTCTACAAACCACACCTGTCCACGTGGAAGCGGTTCAGGAGCAGGAGGATGGAGTGCTGCTGGGCTCCTGTGGGCAATCGGATCACATGTGACTGCATCGTAATGAGCCCGTTTTTGTTCAAGATCTTCCGGTGATAATGAAGCTTTCCAGCGTCAACCCTGTGGCACAACAGGAGTGTGGGCTGTATCATTTTGCCTGTACAGGTTTTTCACTTGGACATAAACACCAGGGACACCTCTCACACACACATATCCAGCCAACCTAAGAGAACATCACTGTGAGACAATGACCTTCAAACAGAAAGCCATGCATTTGGGGTGGGAGTGCAAGGCACAACGACCAGCGAGCCCCACCACTGAAAGGAGAGAGACAAACCCTCCCATACTTGAAAGCGGTGGTGTGAAGGTCTCGCTGCAACTCCCCTTGCCACCTGGACCGGCCGAGTCGCTCCAAGATGCAATAGGAGAAGTCGGGGAGCTTCAGGTCAGGGTCCCCCTCTGCGCCTATCAGCGCCCTGTAGCGCATGTCTTGGGAGGCGACAATGATCAGCTTCTTGCCCCACCTGCAAGTCAGAAACAACCATATACAGAAATACGTTCAACTGACTATAAAAAAATCTGAAATACGAAAAAGTAGAAGCTTTCAGAATCATCATTTTCTGCTTCTCCTGAGAAATTCACAATACCCCTAAATTCACCTAGGCAAGTTTTCAGTCTTAGCATGGCACAGGGTACAGGACTGTAGGAGACACCCCTGCCCAGTGCTAGCGGGCTGTAAGTCAGGTGCTTCTTGCCTTCCATAATTCAGCTGTATTGTTTTACATAAGGAGTCAGACCAAAGCCCTACGTGACTCAATGGGCATGTCAGATGGCGGACTGGGCGGGCATAGCCCCTCCCTCAATGGCTGCCACGGAAACCCAGGCCCTGCTCTGTGCAGTGGCAGGGCTCTGCTGAGCTACGTGCAGCTGAGGTCAGCATGACCCCAATTAAAATCCTTTCCCCTGATTTATGGCTTCTCACTGACCCGCTGGGTTACATGCTAATTGCACCCAGACCCCATACCAGTTTGTTCTATCCAAGCAAGACAAGCAGTGCTGACTCCCTGACAGTGCTGCCTGGTGCCATCATGCCAGGTGATCAGCAGTATCTCACTAGATGCCTTCTAAGCATGCCCTGCTCCCTATTCCTTCCCACGACTGTATTCAATAAATACTGGATGTGCTTGGGGGCCTTTGTCTTTGCTGCCATCAGCAGCACTGACCAGGACCCAAGATCCAGCCTCTCCACTCTACGTCTCATTTCTGTCTGTTCTTGAATTCGCCTTGTACTGTGGTGGCTCACAGGAGGCCAGGACCCACGGCAGAGGTCCTGATACCATCCCCTTACCCATTCCCTACACAGGATGAACAGAACTCAGGGAAGGAAGAAAGGAAGAAGAGACGCATCCAGGCCAGAGCCCGGGTGGGGTTCTGGAGAGAGGAGCGGAAGGACATGTGGAAAAGTCTGCCAGTAGAGGAAGAAGGGGGTGTTAGGAAGGTTCACACTGGCAACTTCTCCCATGCGGCCGAACAGCAGAAGGGAGGTGAGAAGAGGGGTGGGTGCTTGAGAAAAATGACCACTTGCATTGGCCACCTGGGAAAATGGGACCCTACCTGAGAACCCATCAAAGCCCAGCTGGGCAGACTAGGGCCCTTCTAGGAAGAGAGAACAGGTGCCATGTAAACGTGGCTAGGACCTTGCACACAAAGGAAGGGGAAAGACAAGACTCTGACTGCAGCCAGCTGCACAGCAGCAGAGTGAAGAAGGCCAAGGTCTGGCTCGGGGCTCACTGCAGGGCTGTTGAACACAGGCCCTCCCTCTGGAGGGCTGTGAACCTCTCCAGCTCTGGCCATACCCCGCCCGACCTCAGAGCCCCGATTCCCCGGCATTTCTGAGGGTGCAAACCAGTCACCTGTCAAATGCCTCCATCATCGTACAACGAGGCTGCAAAGACTTGCTCCTGATGTTACTGGTAATGTTCTTCCTCTCCTTAAAGAACTGGCACGAGCCCTGGATGCCATCCTTATTCTCTAAGATCATATGAATGGGGTAGACATCCTCCAAAGAGACCGGGTCCCTCCGGGACTCCAATATTCCAGTTTCCAAGTCAATTTCTTCATACCTAAAGGGAAGAGCACAAATACCAAACCCCAACTCAGCTTCGGCAATAATGTACACCTGGAGTATTTGGGGTTTTTTTTTTCCAACCTCCGTTAGAGATCAGAGAGGAGATGAGATTGCTCAGCCTTCCTGCACCTCAAATGCAGACAGTCTTGACAAACAGGTTCCTGCCTTCCTATCCCACAGAGCACAGGCCTTTCCAGGATCCCAACGCTACTCTACTCGGAAACTGCAGCAGCTGTGTGTGTGATCAAACTCACCTTCCCTGCTAAAAGTCACAGCTGGTTTCCTTCCAAAAGGAAGGAAGTCGTCAGGCCACCAAGTTTGGGTTGACCGATTCAAGGCTTTCCTCATCTCATCTGTCATCTTTCCATCTCTCTTTGGCTATCTCTCTAGTCCTCTCGCCCATTTTTATGGTTTTATCACCTGCATGCTCATAATTCTCACCTTTGATCCTCAGTCCTGCCTGTTTCCCCCAAGCACCAAGTCAGTGTCTTCCACTGCTGTCTATCAAACATCTCAAACTTCCTCAGATCAAACAGTGTGACTGCCTCTCCCCACCTCCACACAACTCCCTCCTACATGAGACACTCCCCGCTGCCTCTTAGCAACAATTAAGACATCTTTGACCTAAGTTTCTTCCTTTCTCCAGTCAGCCTTGTCTGCCAAGTTTTCCTTTGGACTCTGGTTCACATTCTGCACTAGACCAGCTGAGGCTAAACCCATACATGCTTTTCAACTTTTTTCTTCCTTGCCCTTTCTGGAACCTCCAACTTCTTAACCCTCCATTTTCAAATCATGTCTGTCTCCTCCCCAGCTCCCAGGCCCCCACTGTCTTTCAGCTCTCCAGTCACACTCTCCTAGTCTTCTTTTGAAGTTTCTGTAGTCTCCACCCAAACTTGAAAGGTAGGTGCAGCTCAGTGCTGTGTCTGAAAGCCTCCAATCGTGATGCATTCTCTCCTAGGGATGATTTTCTTTAGGCAACAGCTTTTATTACCATCTACACAGCATGACTCAGAGGTCTAACCCAGCCCCTCCCCCTGGCCTGCTTTCACTCCCAGAAGCAAATGTTTACTAACAGAACCTTTTCATGGACAACCAAAGGAACCTCAAACTCTTGTGTCTCAAAGCACATTCAGCACTTTCCCCACCTCTCCCAGATTCGACCGCACACTGCGGCTCTTCTGTGTTCCCTACCTCAGTCCAAAGGGGTAGATATTCACACGGGTGCCCCAACAGACAGCTCGGATTAGGAGGTGAGTCCTACCTTTCCCTACATTCCACATCCACTCAAGTATCCAAAGTCCCTCGCGCTTCTGCCATACATGCCTTGATTCCATCTTCTCTTCATTCCCACGTCCCCAGGGACGAGGCAGTCTACCACTGGTTGCTTGTGACTCGATCACTACAAATCTCTCAGCTTCCCTCTGCCCTCAGCCTGACCCTCCTTTCAATGGCTTCCGATTGTCTTTTGGATAAAAGAAAAACTCTTTAAATGGATTAAATGATTGTTAATTAATTTGGCTGAGGGCAGAGTGGAAATAGAAACAGCATTCCCAGGATTGAAATTCTGCAATCTGTTCTTGCTACTCTGACCTTGAGCAACTCATTTAAACTGTGCCTTAATTTTCTCTTCAGAAAAATAGGGATAACAAAACCTTCCTCCCCAGGTTGTTATAAAAAATTAAACAACTTGTGACATCTAAGTGTCCTAGAATAGTCCCAGATCATAATAAACACATATAAGTGTCAACTATTAGTCCTCATTCTCTACTTACAATTCTACACTTTGACGGAACTTCATTTCTCTTCCATCCAGCTTATATACTTGCCGTTCTATCCAGAGTACTCTGACAACTGAAGGGCCTAAATGCAACCCGAAGCCTTGTCTTACCCATGATTACCTCTGGGAACCTTCTCAGATGAGCACAATGTGGTTAACACGGATTCTGAAGACAAGACGCCCAGGGTTCAAATCAGTACTCAGTCACTTAGCACCCCTGCACCTGGGCAGGCTTCTTAACCTCTCTCTGAGACTCAGTTTCCTCCTTTACAAACTTGGAAGATAACAGCACCCACTTCACAGGGTCCCGTGAGGATCAGTTCAATCCTGAAGCTCTCGGGATCTTGGAATGGCACCCGGCTCATAGTAAGCACCCAGTGCACCCTGGCTGTTAGTTAGCATGACTGCTAAGTTCCCTGCTACGCTGACCTCGAGGGCTCTAGCTCTCCAGTTTGATGCCAAATGAATGAATGCTCCATAGAGGTTTGTGGAACTCAACCGTCCCCGGGTTTGATCTGCACAGCCTGCCTAATCCAATCCTATCCTCCACTTTAAAGGGGACTACTCTGAAACCCGAAGAATATCTCCCCCGTGCGCGTCCTGCTCACCACCACCCTCATGCACACGCAGACACAAAGGGACACCACCAGATGCCCTCCCCCACACACAACTTCACCAGAACCCTGGGCCCTGCCAGCCCCGAGGGACCCCAAACTAGCATTGCCAGAGCGCCCGCGCCCCCTCCCCCATTAGATCTCCGGTCCTTCTTCGGCCTCCCTCCTTTCCCGCCCCCTCCCAGCTCCATGAGATCCCGGGCCCCGGGCCTGGCCGCTGACCGGTCCTGCAGCTGGAGGTCGGGGCGCTCCCGAGGCTCCTCATAGAAGCTGATGCCCGGATGCGTGGCAAGAGCGCGCCACAAAAACTCCTGCGTGTAGGGCTCCAACAGCAGCGGGAAGGGAGGCACTCGAGACTCCAGACGGCTCCACAGAGCAGGCAAACACAAGCCATCAAGCCCCTCCAAGGCCACTTCGTCCAACAACGACTCCAGCGCGTCCATTGCTTCCACAGTTAGCAGAGCCCGAGGCGCCTGCGCACCTAGCCGCGAAGGGCCCTGTTCAGCGCGCCTGCGCACAGAGAGCGGCGGCCCAGGGAGGAGGGTCGGACCCAGCCATCCGCGGAGTTGCAGCGCGCCCACGTGACGTCACTTGTGGGGGCGGGCTCAGTGAGCGGAGGTGTACCGCCATTGGTCCGGAACCCTGCAGTAACCAGGAGAACTGAAAACAGTACAAGGGCAACTTCCGGTTCGAGAGACCGGAACCACCGCCTCTAGGTATGGATGGTGAGTGTCCGTGGGCCCCTCCGGGAGGTCGGGCGGTTAGTCGCTCATATTTCTTGAGTCTTCTCTGGGCGGAACACTAGTTCATAGACCCTCTGGACCACCACTGCCTGTCCCAAGATGGTCTCCAACCTGAGGGAAAGAGGGGCTGAGTGGTCCCGGAGGGCGAGGAGAGGCAGGGGGAGCGGTCAGTGGTTCCTCCACGGTGCCAAGCTGAGGTCGTGTTGGAACTCGGGACTGGCCAGGGGCTCGGTGAGGGGATTTATGGCGGGAAAGGCGAGGTAGATGTCTGAGAAGGATCTTGCACGTCTTGGGCGTGGAACTGTAGGATCGGGGAATTGGTGTGGAGCTGAGCGTGATCCTGGGGAGTGCGTTCGTCAGCTGCTGAAAGGGAGTTGGTACGGGGAGTGGGGGAGACCCGGGCAGACTCCCTTTCTTTACTTTGGTGTTAATAAGAGGCCACATTAACAGTATTGTTCAGTGCCAGGAACTCTTTAAGTGCTGTCAGGCAAGCTTCATAACTGTCATTTGAAGTCAGTGTTAACCCCATTCTACAGATGAGAAAACTGAGGTTAAGGGAAGTAACTTCCCCAGCGTCAAACAGCCCACAAGTGGCGGAACAGTGAGGAGCCCAGACACTGTCTCTGGAGCTGAATTATGGAGGTTGGGATTAGAAACGTTTTCAGGGGCCTTTTATCCCAGAGGTTGCCAATGCAGATGTCTGCAGGGCCAAATTGAGTAGGCTGGATTGGGAATGTGAGTAGAAATCCATTACCCATTTAAAGGGGAAGCTGCTCGATCGGCTCCTGCCGATTGCTTCTTGGGACACTTCTCAGAAGATCATGACACCAGTCACCCTGAAGGCCAGGGACAGGCTGTGGGCTCACCATTTAGGAACTCACTCTGGGATGGGAAGACTAACGGCTAGGGAGACTGGTCGGGTCTGTGCTAATGTCCAGATCGTTATTCTTACGTTACTGTCCCGCACTTCTGGGGAACTGCATTCCTTTGCTATCCGCTGAATGCAGTGTGGAAAGAAAAAGTTGTTGGCTTTTGGTTGGTTGGTTTTGGCTTTTTTGAGACAGAGCCTCACGGTGTAGCCCAGACTGGCTTCAAGCTCACAATCCTGCTGCCTCAGCCTCCCACATGCTGGGATTACAGGCATACACAACCACACTCAGCTGAACAATTTTTTAGTTGAACATTCTGTCATGTGCTTAAAAAGGTACCTTTGCCTTTTGTATTTTTGAGTTACTATAAAAATGTCTTTTACTAGCTTACCCTGTGGAAAAGTCAGTGTAGTGTTGCTATACAATAATTCTCAAACCTTTAGACCTCCAGACAGCTTTATTACGGTCTTCCCTCAAGAGTGTTTGTGTGTATAATATCTTTGGTATTTATCATATTAGAAATTAAAACTAAGCTGGGCGTGGTGGTGCAGGCCTGTAATCGCAGCACTCAGGAGGCTGAGTCAGGAGGATCACCACAAGTTCAAGGCTAGCCTGGGGTACAGAGGAAGTTCATGGCCTAACCGGAGACTAACCTAATACGGAGACTCTTGTCTCAGAAACAAAAACAAACAAACAAAAAAAATCTTATAAGATGTGTCAGGGTTTTTTTTAAAATAAGGGGGCCGGGGATTTAGCTCAGTGGTTTCGCCGCCTGCTGCGCAAGCGCAAGGACCCAAGTTCCATCCCCGGTACCAAAAACATAAAAAATAAAAATAAATAAATAAAATAAGAACAATATCTGGGCATGGTGGCACATGCCTATGATCCCAGCACTCAGAAGGCTGAGGCAGGAGGAATTCTGTGAGTTCAAAGACAGTCTGGGATAAACAGTGAGTTCAGGGCCAGCCTGAACTACATAGTGAGACCCTGTCTCAAAAAGATGCCCCCCCCAAAAAAAAATTTTAAAAAAGACCCCCAAAATAAATAAATAAAAATAAGAACAATTGGGCCGGGGATTTAGCTCAATGGTTTTGCTGCCTGTTGTGCAAGTGCAAGGACCAGAGTTCGATCCCTGGTACCAAAACAAAAAAGAACAATAAACTCATTGCTTCCGAATATAAATAATTTTTTGATGTATTAGAGATTGAACGCAGGGAGCTCTGAGCTGTATCTCCAGCCCTTTTTCTTTGTTTGTTTATTGATTTTTTAAAATTTTGAGACAGATTCTTGCTAAATTGACCAGGCTGGCCTCAAACATTTTGTTCATGTGTTTGTTTGTTTGTTTGTTTGAGATGGTCTCACTATGACCCAGCTGGCCTCAAATTTATTCTCTTTCCTTGGCCTTCTGAGTAGCTGGGATGAGAGGTATGTGCCACCATGCCCTGCTCATAAATAATAGCTTTAATGAAAAATAACATTATTATCCCCAAAATATTAATAGGAGAAGTGGCCTCATTTTACATCTTATCAAATCTTCCATGTCTGGCTTAATAGAAAGCAGCTGGACTGTCATCTCTGCTGCAGCATCTGTAACAATTGTACTATTTTGGTTGCCATATATGAAGAAGATCTGGTCTCACCTGTGTGTACAAGTGGAGCAGGGAGGAATATTTTAATAGCCTTTTCAAATAACTATAGATACTCTTGATGCAGCAAAACTTGCCAAGTGGCAGTTTCTTAAAGGTCAGTCACAACATGGTATCTGAAACTGTTAATGAACTTTTATACTGTTACATTAAAATCTATTAGCCTCCCTTGCCCTTTGTTTGGCTATTTTCCCCATGTATGATTTTATAAAATCAGCCGTTGTTCATTTTGAAAATGTTCTGTAGCCAGGGATTTAGCTCAGTGGTTCCACCGCCTGCCTTGAAAGCGCAAGGTCCCGAGTTCAGTCCCCAGTACAAAAAAAAAGGAACATGGGGCTGGGGATTTAGTTCAGTGGTTTAGTCGCCTGCTGCGCAAGTGCAAGGACCTGAGTTTGATCCCTGGTACCAAAAAAAAAAAGGAACACGTTTCCACTGCCTGCCTTGAAGATGTTGTACACATCTTTCAGGAGGTGACATTGGAAATGTCATTATCCAATACTAAAAAAAAATCACATTTGTTAATATCACCACCCATCTCATTTTTTTAAAAAGAGAATTTTAAATATCGGAAAGCTATTGAAATTCAAAGTAATGGAAACATTTTCCACTTGCTTTCAATTGAAAGCTTAAGTGTTACATTGACAACAAATAACTGTCAGTTTCCTTGAAGTCACAGGCTCATTCATTCATATTTGAGAAAATACGTGCCAAATACTGAAGTCTCAATAACCATAACTTGTCTATTCTTGTCCATTCAAATAAAGATGACATTTCATACAAAATGTGGTTAGTTCATCTGGCAACTCAAGTAATTGTGCAAGTGTTTTCTGTGATTAACTGTTGTTCTTGGCTTCTAGCAGAAGTGCTTCATGTGTAAATTCCATTTTCTCACACAGTACAGTATTTAAAAGATGAGTACTCATGGGCTGAAATTTAATGAAATTGTTTTTACTGTTTCGTCAGGACATTCTTCAGGGAAAATGATTTGTTTGCTGATTTTACTGTCTGTGGCGGTAAAGAACATAATAGCTACTAGCACAGTTTGGCACCATGGCCTCAATTGAGGCTGCAGGTGGTTTTGCTGACCTTTGGTTTGCCTTAGCAGTCCAAATATCAACATGGTGAAAAAGTCTTAGACTGACGATGCAAATAGTTTGCCTTTGTAGACCCCTCCTCCTCCCAGGATCTGTGGAACACATTTTGGAACACACTGGCTACTGCCCATTTTAAAGGAGACTGGTTTATTGCTTTTTTTATTTTTCCCCAATACTGGGGATTGAATCCAGGGTCTTCATACTGAGCTATATTCCCAGCCCTTTTTTTTTTTTTTTGGTACCAGGAATTGAACTCAGGTCCTTGTACTTGCACAGCAGGCGGTGGAACCACTGAGCTAAATCCCCGCCAGCCCTTTATGTTTGAGACAGGGTCTTGCCAACTTCCTGCGTTCCTCAGGCTAGGCTGGAACTTGTGAGCCTCCTGCCTCAGCCTTCCAAGGGCTGGGATTAGAGGATATGCCAACACACCTGGCTTTTATCATTTCTAATTATTTATCATCTCTGCACTCTTTTTTTTTTGGCGGTACCGGGGATCAAACTCAGGACCTTGTCCTTGCAAGGCAGGTGCGGTGCCACTGAGCTAAATCCTCGGCCCTCTGCACTCTTAAAGTATTATTATAACCCCATGGAGGAATGTGTCCATTTTCAGAACAGAAACATTTACTCTAAAAGTGTATTTACCCTAAGATTACATTTAACCTTCAAAGAATCCTGTTTCCTTTCCAATTTTTAAAACTTTGATTTACACAGTTTTGTTTTTGTTTTTGTTTGGGGGAAGGGTGGGTTTTTTGAGACAGGGTCTCGCTTTGGAGTTTAGGCTGGCCCTGAATTCACTATGTAGCCCAGGCTGGCCTCAAACTCTCAGCAATCCTCCTGCCTCAGCCTCCCTAGTGCTGGGATTACAGGCGTGCACCCCCCACACACACACATTGTTCTTATAAGCACGTATCTTTTGGTTAAAATGAATCATGCTTTAATGAATTGTGATCTAGCCAACTAGATAAGATGGCTTATCCTTATTAGGGAGGCATTTATTTCCCAAACTCACGTGCGCTTGAATGTCTAAAGAGTGTCCCCAAGCTCGACCGTAGTTGGGCTTACTCTGCAAATTGTCCTAACTTTCCCATTTCTCGAACCCCGTTGGTTTTGACTTTGAGCAGGTGAGGCAGAGTGTGTAATGCTGTTAGGTTTGGGGTTGCTTACAGCCCTGAACTTGACTCTCAGCTATGTACTTTGACCTTTCTGAGTCTCAGTGAAATGTGATGAAGCCTGCCTTGTTTGTGGATTTAAGGAGAAAGTCCATGGAAGTGGTAATTGGCCTGGCTGCCATACAAGAAAATGTTCCTAGTGGTGGCTGATGGTGTCATTATTTGCAAAAGGGTGAACTTCAAACTGCTGACAGAGAGTTACTT